GGGGACAAAGGGGAGAGCCCTCGGCTCCGGTTTGTTCGGTTCACTATGGAAACGTTTCGGGGGAGGGTCTGCCAGGTGTGCTTGCTGTGGGCTTGGTGGGGTCGAGGATCCAGGGGGAAGCGGACCCTCGCTCTGTGGAAGTGGGTGAAGGCTGGCTGTGAGTCCACGTGGTGGGGTCATTGCTACCCACCCTGCCCTGAACCTCCACTCCCAACTGTCGTCGCTGCCCCTTGACCTGTGGGAAACTGAGTCACGGAGAGGCCAGTAGGCACAGTCCTGTGCTGCACCTTCCCACCTGCCTCCTGCTGGTGAGCGGGGCTTGCTGGTGAGGTGAGCGTTGTTGGGGGCTGGGGAGGATCCTGCACTTCCTTTTCTCGGGTAAGCGCTTAGTGTGCCAAAGGGGGAGAACGACCTGCCCCGGGCTTGAGTTTGGGCCTTCCTCACCCCCTGTGCCCAACTTCTTTACTGAGCCTGGAGGGCAGGAGCCCGGGGAGCTTTCCACAACGGCAGCGGTGGGCCCTCTGCGATGCTGCCGGAGTTCAGTGCGTGGGCCACCAGGATGTGGGGCTGGGCTGGTGCTCAGGGCCCGGGTGGGGCAGGGAAGACATGAGTCCATGGGGCAGAAAGCTGGGGGTGGTGGCCCCGACCCAGGAGGGAAGCAGGCCTTTGCAGGCCATGAAGGGGCCAGCCGGGACTCGCAGCGGACTCCCATCCTGCCGGCCAATCTGGCGCTTGGTGACTCGGTCCGCCCCCCGCCCCCCCCATTGTCTCCACCCAGACCACAAGTGTGGGTGCTGAGAAATAACAGCCTGGTTTGCTTGAGTGAATGTGGCTGGAAGCAGTGGCCAGAGCTTGGCCTGGAAAGTGGGTTCCCAAGAGGACACGGGGAAGGCCCTGGGGTGTGGGTGGCAGCGGCGGCGACATCAGACTTCCACTGTAAGAGGCCGCTGCACTAGAGGGACCGCTGCGCCGGCCGGGACCCCCGTGGGCCCTCCTGACCAGTGCAAAGGCGTCACATCTGGGCCCCTCTCCCGTGCGCCCTGGGGAATGTGATGGCACTCCTTGGCCCGGGCAGCCAAGCCCTGAGTAAAGGCCCAGGTGGGGCTTTCGCTACGGCTTCCTGCCGCTTTAAGTGACGTGATTCTGCCCGGCGAGGTTGGGATATGTTTCAGGTGAGTCCATCAAAAGCAGTTAGTGCAGCTCGCGCGTGCTTCCTGCAGGCCAGTGCAGCAACTGCCTCCCGATCGCCACTGCGGCGGGTCTTCCTCGGTCCTTTTCCTTGCAAACTTCACTGGGTGCCTTTCGTGTGCGCATCGGTCACCCGGATGCGCTGTGGAAACATGTCTACTCCAGAGTGTTGCTCCTCGACTGCTTGGGCCCTGCGACTGTTTACCCTCGATCCGCTCTGGGAGTGATTCAGGAATCACTCTGGGAATGCCAGGTCCAAGAGCTACAGCCGTTTTCTCTTTCTTCATGGGATTCTTTGATGAGCAAGTTTGTGATTTTGTGGAAGTCCAATTTCTCTCAGTTTCTGAGGTTGCTCTTGCTTCTGGCATTTTAGCTGTGGGATTCTGCACGGTTTGACATCAGTTATTGTTCTCTTCAGCCCATGCACAGTTTCCCCCGATATCTAGACCTTCGTTGAGAATCTCTTATTTGTTGATTTATTGTTGTCATATTTTCCTTCAACTCTAAACATGCCGCTTCTTTTAGTACTTAGATGCTTTATATTTAAAAAAAAAGTTGTTTATTTACGATTGAACTCGTGGACAGCCTGATAGTGCTGAGCTGTAACCTGTCAGGCCACGAGGGAGGGCCCTATTGCCTGAGAGTGATCCCCCGCCAGGGCGCGACCCCTCCAGGGCACAGCAGACCCTCCTGTCTCCTTGCTGCTCCCTCAGCAGTGGGTCTCAGTGGATCCGCCTGTTCTGCTCCCCACTCTGTCTCTGGGGGTGCCTCTCACCCCTGCACCTCTGGCCTGCACCCCAGTTCTTGCGTGCATCAATGAACTTATCTCTCAACCAATCCTCAAGCAATCGCTTGGCAGCACTGAGACTAACTGAGCACCACCAGGAAGGCTCTGAACTCTCCAACATCTTGGAACACTCGGAGACACTTTATGTGGTTGCTTTCCTGAACGTGGGCTATAGTTCGCTTTTCTCTGCTTGTATTTTTTTGTTGCTGTCACCTGGACAGCAACAAAATAATTCCAGCTATTTTGGGTGCTGACATTCCCTACCCCCATACTGTTTTTGCTGTGATTTTTCTTTTTTTTCTCGTGACTTTGTTGTACGCCTTTTCTTGTCCAAACCTGCGAAGTTATTCCCCCTGTGATGTGTCGTCACTGGTATTTCTGCTCAGTTGAAAAAAAATTTCAGTTAAAAATTGTAAGCCCGGGGCCCTCCCTGGCGGCGCAGTGGGTTACAGCACAGCACTGAGAAGCTGCAGCCACTTCCGCATGAGGTCGATCCCCGCCTGCCCCAGAGGTGACCCCATGGCGCGGCAGACCTCTCCTGACCCGCCCGCTGCTCCCCTCGGCAGCGGACTTCGTCGATCTGCCTGTTCTGCTCCCCGCTCTGTCTCTGGGGAAGCCTCTCACCACCCCTGAGCCTCTGGCCTCTACCCCAGTTCTGGATGCACAAATAAATCTTTAGGAAAAAAATTGTAAGCCTGTTTCCCAGGGGCTGGCCCCGCTCAGTGGTTATCTGATTACTGAACAGAAGCTGCTCAAACTTCCTCAGCCAGTGAGACTTCTGTGCTCTTCTGATGGATGAAAGTGGGGGCGTCTTTCAGTGTTAGGCAAGTTCCAGGTCTGCCCTGTGTCTTCTTCCCACTGGGCCACTGTGAATCTCCTGTGGCCATGGGATGGCCCAGGCAGTCCAGAGGGCATGCTGCACTCAGGGCCACCCCGAGGATGTGCTTGCCCACCCACAGGTGCCGGCTTTAGCTGGCCTGCCTTGGCCTTGCCTCCTGGGCGCCATGAGCCCTTGCTTCCGCACTGCCGCGGCCCAGCACTGCAGCCGAAGATGCTCTCAAGTCCAGGCAGACAGGCCTCTCCTCGTGTCCTGGCAGAAAGACCACGCCAACCAAGTTGGGACAGACAGGGTCCCCTCTAGGTCAGGGTGCTGGAGACTGCCATTATTTTCTTGCAAATCCAGCTTCCTGCTTTCAGGGAGGTTGTTTATCAGTATGTGTGCTGGGCCGGCCTGGAGGGCCTGCCCTTTTTTTTTTTTTAAAGATTTATTTATTTGTGCATACACAACTGGGGGACAGGCCAGAGGTGCGGAGGCAGTAAGAGGCGTCACCAGAGACAGTGGGGAGCAGAACAGGCCGATGGACTGACGTCCAGCGGGCGGGTCAGGAGAGGTCTGCCGCGCCCTGGGGTCACCTCCGGGGCAGGCGGGGATCCAACTCATGCTAAGTGGCTTTAGCTTCTCAGTGCTGTGCTCTAACCGGCTGCGCCACTGGCGGGGGGGGGGGCAGTCCTGCCTTTTGATGTGTTCCCCTCATCCTGCCATTCAGTGTCCCATAGAATTATGGGTGGACCAACCCTGCATTGACCTGGAGAATCTAGTCTATTTCTTTTGCTTATTGATCTTTGGATTAATTTCTAAAATCCTACTTTACACCTTACACTGTTGGACTTTTCCAATGTTTCTGTGTCTCTGGTTCTCTATTTTGCTTTCTATTCGATTGAGGTCTTTCTCATTTGATATTTTTCCTGTAATAGTTTGGAAACAGTACACTGTTGTCTTAGTGATTCCTCTAGAACACTGATCTTAACACAGCTTAAAGTTACTCAATATTGACATGGCGATGAGGGGAGAACTGGGCAGAGTCGCCCTCCTATAACATGGAAGACCGAGCAGATGTGTCAGTCACTTGTGTCTAGGTGGTGGAGGCATGAATTAGACCCGGTGGTGTCGGAAAGGAAATGAGCAGGTGAACTCCACCACCCGGAATTCCCGACAGAGACAGAGGAGACAGAGAAGCGTGACCCATCGTGGTTGAAACTAGCCTGTAACAACAGGCCCGGGGGGTCAGAAACTGGTCTGACACGTGAACAAGCTGCAAACAACTCTCTTTCTATCTGTCGAAAGACAGAAGTCGTGAGGCAAAGCTCCTCTCCTCAAACAGGAGACGCAGATCGACGCGTACAGAGACTCGTGATTTCCGGCTAAACTCACAAACAGAAAACCTGCACTTAACTGCTGAGATGCTGCGCACAAGTGTGATAGTTAAGAGATGTAAAACCCACTTTTGTGGCTTTTAATTCCAGAAACCTTCCAAGTTTTCGCAGAAGCACAGAGAAAAACTTCCTCATGCAAGAAAGCAGCTGGGGAGTGGCCAAGTGCGTTCTCAGGAAACTTCCACCAGAACCGGACCTGTCGGGCTTTCAGAGGGATCTGCGCAGAGGGAGCGAGCGAAATGCTGCCGTCGTGGTCACTGTACCCCCTCTGCGGGCACGAGGGCACTGAAAGGCCCGGTGCAGCGCACAGCCCAGAGTCAGAGGCCAGAAGCCTGCATGTACCCTCCCCACCTCACTCTGTTTTCTGAGAGCCGTCACGCAGCTCCTTCATTCAGCACATGGTACTTGACCTTCCACAAAGAATTAGAAGGCACGCAGGGGGTGCAAAGCACAGCTGGAACACGCAGAGCACACATCGCAACCAAAGTCAGATACAGCAAAATGTTGAATTTTCAGAACAGGAGTTTAAAGTACTGTGATCAGTGTGTTAAAAGCTGATGGAAAAAAGTAGACAACATAGAAGAACATGGCCATGATTGCAAAGGAGGGTGGGAAATAAAGCTTTTATCTGAATGCCGGATGCCCTGGTAACTGTTGAGGAATCTCTCTCTCTCCCCCCTCCTTCTTTCTTCTTTTAAAGATTGATTTCTTTATATATATATTTTTTAAAGATTTATTTATGTGTGCATACAGAACTGGGGTACAGGCCAGAGATGCGGAGGGTGAGAGAATTCACCAGGGACAGAGTGGGAGCAGAACAGGTAGATCAAGAAGTCCACTGCTGAGGAGAGCAGCGGGCGGGCCAGGAGAGGTCTGCCGCGCCACGTGGTCACCTCCGGGGCAGGGGGGGATCGAACTCATGCGGAAGCGGCTTCAGCTTCTCAGTGCTGCGCTGTGACCCGCTGCGCCCCCAGGGAGGCCCAAAGATTGATTTCTTGATGCTCACAGAACTGGGGCACAGGCCGAGGCGCAGGGGCGGTGAGAGGCTTCCGCAGAGACAGAGCGGGCAGCAGAGCGGGCAGATGGGCTGAAACCCACTGCTGAGGGGGCAGCGGGGAGACAGACAGGAGGGGTCTGCCGTGCCCTGGGGGCCCTCTGGCCGGCAGGGGACCCAAGTGCTGCAGGGGCCCATAGCTTCGCCTGCTCAGATGTAACCCTTGCGCCACCAGAGAGGCCCTCATCTAGAACTTTGAGAAAGCAGATTTTACTAGTGCCGTAACTTCACTGCTTTTATTGCATCATATACCTTAAGTAAAATCTGTGTGCAGGCCAATCGGGGGTAGCTTCAAGACAAGTCCAGGCGCTGCCCCTAAGTCCGTGCAGAACAGTTCTGAGGCGCCCACTGCCGCGGACTCTACACTCACATTTAAACTGGTTCTAAGTTCTCAGAGCAAGTTTCCCTTTCAAGCAAATTTCCCGCCAGGCCCCCGGTGAGGCCAAGCAGGCATCCTCGCCTCTTTTGGGGGGTGCGTTCTTTCTAGCAGACCATTGCATTAGTCTTCTGGCGCTGCTCCAGCAATGTGTCGCAGACTCGGAGGCCGGAGTGACACACTGATTGTCCTTCAGCTACGGCGGTCAGAAAGCGACGCAGGTTTCCCTGGCTAAAATTTCAATGCCAGGACGGCTGCTTGCCCTGAGGAGACGCAGGGAGGACTGTTTCCGGGCGGCTGGGCTTCCAGCGGCTGTGTGTGCCCCTTGACCCGCGCGGGTCCCGGTCCTCCTCCCTTAGAAGGCCGCGTGTACGGTCCTAGGGCGCCGCCTAGCCGCTCAGCCCCGCTGGTTTGTTCGCAGGGTCTGGGGCTCAGGGGTGACCATCTTTGCGAGTGTGGGGGGTGTCGTCCTGCCACCACACCTCCGAGAGCGTGGCCCTTAGCAGCCCTGGCTTTGTGTGGGGCCCAGCTGTGGTCTCCCGGGTTCCGTGGTGCCAAGCCCTGGACTCCTGCCTCTGCTTCCGCGTAGGCACTGACCCCAGAGCCGTGCCCCCCCGCCCGTGGGGCGGGCTCTGCTTTGCCATTCATTCATGCATTCCTGTTTTTAGATTCTCTCCCGCATTTTCGGGGTTCTGGACCAGGACGGCTTCTCTGAACACGTGGCCCGCCCTTCTCACGAAGCCCCGACTTCTCGCTCTGTACCTGTCTGCAGCCCCCACTTCCTGCCTGCTCTGGTGGAGACTGCAGCGCGGGTGTGTGGGAGGCCTGGGGGAGCAGGGCCCCTCTGCGGCTGCTGCTGTGGGCGCCGGGCCTGCCCTCAGGCCTTTCCCCACCCCCATCACCTTGTGAGGTGCAGGTCTGATTCTGCGCTGTCACCGGCCCCCAGCACCTCTGGGTGCCTGCTGCCCTGCCCCCCATCAGCTGCGTCCTCTGTTGCCCTGTGGGCACTGTGTACCAGCCCCTGGCCCTCAGGAGAGCAGCAGGCGTCTCTGGCTCACTGCTCTGTCCGGCCCCCAGCGCTCTATGGCACAGATCGGGGGCTCCGTGCGTCCAGCAATGGGGCCCTTGGTCAGAAAGGTTGGGGTGAGGCAGGATGGGTGCTGCATGGCTAGTGATGCAGGGGGAGGCGTGGCACTTGAGTCCCTGAGCAGCCCAGCACCCTTGCAGGCCCCTGGCCTGCCGTCCGACAGCCCCTTTTCCCTGGGTGACACAGCATCTGCCCAGGGGCAGTGGGGGCACGCTGTGTGGTGCTGGGGGGCTGTGGCGGCTGCTGGCCCTAAGCAGCACGGGCTGGCCAGCTGGCGTGCAGCCGACAGCGCTGGTGGCGCCCATCGCCCAGAGGGGCGTGCTGCAGTAATGTGCGGTCTTGCCCCACCGCCCGCAGCGGTGACCCCTTCTCCTCCCGGCAGTGCCCCACGCTCAGTCACGGAGAGCCCGGTGACCCCTGGAACACCGCTGGGGACAAGAAGGAAGCACGTTTCTAAGTGTTGAGGGTGTGAACGGGCGGGCGCCTGAGGTGCAGCTCTGGCCTGTGCTCTCCCTGAGGTGCTAGGGACAGCCATCTCCAGGAGCCTCTTAGAGGACACCAGCTCTGGGAGTCCTGAGACTTGGTAGAGAGGCGGGGGGTGCCGACTGTCTTGGACAGCAGCTGCCGGGCTGGGTGGCCTGGGAGGCCCTGGGCCCACGGCGCCTGGGGCAGGACATGCGCTTCCTGTGGAAGGCGGCTCGGCACCCTGGCCTGGCCCCCCCCCGCCCCTACCCCCACCCCTGCCGAAGGAGAAGTCAGTCACAGAAGCTTCTGGAGCGTGGTTCCGCCTGACAGCGGTGCGGGTCAGCCGGTGGCCCAGCTGGCCCTTAGGCACATTTAATAAGGTTCCCGAGGATGATTCAAGTGGGTAGGACGGGTCTCCCCAGGCCACCCTGGAGACCCGGGGGGCAGCGAGGCCCAGGCTCCGGCTCTCCCCACAGCCCCCGCATGAGGTATTGCGTGACCCCCCCCCCGCCCCCCTATGGCTGAGCCCCTCCCGCCTGCCCCTCCTCCCAGCAAATGGGTGGTCGGGGGCACCCACTGGGGTGGGGTGGGGGGTCTAGGTGGGGTCCAGCTCGAACACACCGTCGGTGGTGGGGGTGGTGAAGAAGGAGGGGGGGTCGGAGTCAGCCGACTCCTGCTCCCCGCCGCCCTGCACCCTGGAGCGTCTCTCCAGGCGCAGGCTGCGCTCGAAGTCCAGCAGCTGCCCCATGAAGTTGAAGTTGGGCGAGATGTTGGACTTCTTCCTCCTGACCAGGTCGTAGGCATCGTTGAGCGAGAGGTGGAGCTTCTGCATGAGGTAGGCCACGGTGACGGTGACAGAGCGGCTGACGCCCGCCAGGCAGTGCACGAGCACCCCGCAGTTCTGGGACAAGGCCTCATCTAGGTGGGGGCAGGGTGGGGACCCCCCAGAGGCCAGTGTAAGACGCGGGCCTCACCCTGCCTCCAGCACAGGGCCGGCCAGTCTAGCTCAGGGCCCCTGTCCCCCAAGCCCGGCTGGCTGGCCCCACCGGCTGACCCATCCCCGCGGGAGACAGGCTGCTGAGGGTGGCCAGATGGGGGGGCGGGCGCTCACCGATGAAGGCGATGGCCTCCGGGAAGAACTGGGACAGGTTCTGGCTCCAGTGGTCGGAGATGGGGATCTGCTTGTAGTGGAAGCCGCCGTTCTTCTCAAAGAGGTTAGGGAGGTTGGGGGTAACGTTGAGGATGTAGCGGATGCCCAGCTTGGCCAAGCTCTCCACGTTGGCCGAATCTCGGGCACTGCCCAGGTAGAGGTTGGGCAGGATCTGGGCAGGGAAGGAGGGCAGCAGCCCCACTGGGGGCGGCGTGGTGCTCTCCGAATCCAGGCCGCAGCTCATGGGGTCACGGTCGGGCTCCGACTCCGCGTCCGAGCAGTCGGATGCCAGGCACAGGCCCCCCAGCCCCACCACCGGGCCGGGCATCAGGGCTGCGCCTGGGCCACCTCGGCTGCTGAGGCTGGTCTCACACAGGTGGGGGCACTCAGCCTGGAACCTGCTGAAGCCACCTGTGAGGACAGAGGCGGAGGGACTTGCAGTCTGGCACTCCGTCTGCACCGGGCTGGGGGAGGGAGCCGACCCAACGACCCAAAACCTGAAAGCGAGCAGCCCAGGGCCCTCTACAGCACTGTTGGCTACTTCTCTGGACAGCAAGTGTCCACTGCAGCCGTGGGGGGGGCGGCGCAAGAAGCTGGGTTCAGGCAGAGCCACCCAGAGAGGGTCTTCCACCCCCAGGGCTGGGCCGAGGCAGGCGTTAGGGTTCAATCAGGCTGACCACTTCCACTTAGGCTGGGGGACAGTGGTGGCTGGTAAAGAGAGGGAAGATGCAAACGGGATCGAGCTTGGCCAGAAGGCCCACAGGGCAGTGGCCAGGCCAAAGACATTTCGGGGCTCTCTTCGGTGCTAAAAGGGACCTAGGTGGTGGGGAGTCTGGGAGAGTGTGACACTCCCCCCTGGCGCTTCCAAAGCTCCAAGAAGTGCACACACCAGCTACAGATGACTCTTGGGGCTCCCCCCGCTGGGCCGGACCTGGACCCGGATCTCTGCCCTGTGCCTCGTGGGGTATTGAGTCCAGCGCCCCCAGAGGGAGGGGGTCCACCTGGACTCCTGGGAGAGGTGGGCACTGCAGGGGGGAGCGCACTCCGCTGAGGCCCTTCCTGCCTTCTCTGCTGGGTGGGGTTCACCTCCTGCAGCCCCTGCTTCTTTGGGCCGGTGCCTCCCTTGTGCTTGGCCCTTTCCACCCCTTCAGTGGGGCCATGGCAGCCCACTTCTCCCCTTTGCCAGACTCCAGGGCTGGGACACCCTGGGGTGAAGGCCTTGCCCAAGGTCGGGCTGGTAGGGGCTGTTGCCTCGCTTAGACAAAGCCAGGCGGGGTCTGCCCAAGGTCAGAAGACTCCCGCGCCCGCGCCCCCGGAGAGTGGGGCCGTGCCTGCGGCGAGCCCGGCTGCCCGGGCACCTACCCTGCAGGTAGTAGGCCAGGTAGCCCTCCTCGCGCAGCTTCTGCAGCAGGGTGCCCAGCACCGACTCGGCCTCCCACTCCTCGGCCTCCCCGAGCGCGCGCCGGCCCCCGCCCTGGTCGTACAGGAGCACCGGGGCGGGCGGGGGCGGCTGCAGCGGCGGCCCGGGCAGGAGCGCGCGCACCGACAGGCTCCCCCGCCGCAGGCGGCGCAGCAGCAGCGCGGGCAGAGCCACGCTCAGCGCCCCGCCGATGCGCGCCGACTCGTACAGCTCGCGGCTGCGGCAGTCCAGGAGCAGGAGTCGCGGCCGCGGGGGCGACAGTTCCCGGCGCAGCCACAGGCACGAGCGGCCCAGGCCGCCCATGGGCTCGCGGCTCTGCTCACGTCGGGTCGCGGGCGCTGCGGGGAGAGGGAGGGAGGGGGCGGCTGAGCAGCGGGCGCGCGCCGGGGCCGGGCGGAAGCCGAAGGCGCGTCCCTCTCCCGCGGCGGACGCCCGGGGTCCGGCTCGCAGCGCGGCCCTTCCCTCGCGTCCCTTCCAACAGGGGTCGCGCAGAAAGTCGCCCCGTGCGCCCCAAGAAAATGCCCGGGGCAGCCGCGGGGGGGCCCCGCGCCGCTCCCTCCCGGGAGTGTGAGGGCGCCGAGGAGGAGCGCTAGGCTCAGCCACCCCCGCGGGCGTCCCGGGGCCCTTCCCAGCTCCTCCCCGGGGCAACCCGGCCACGGCCACCTCTGTCCACACCCCTTTTGCGTCTCTCACTAGCTTGCCCTCACTCACTCCCCAAGTTCCGACTCTGGCTGCGGAGCGAGCGAGGCTGTGCGCCCGTGGCCGAGAATCCCCCACGCCCGGTGCGCCCGGCGGGGCCGGGGCAACAGGGGAGCCCCAGGGTGGGCTAGACTAGGCTTCCTCCGCCCGGAGCCCAGAAGCCCAAGAGCCCCCGGAGGAGAAAACAAAAGGAGAGACCTGGAGCGCGATCGTGATCGGGCGGCGGGCTGCCGCGCGCGGACATCCCGGCCAGGTCGCGGGCACCGGCCCGAGCGGGGCAGCGCGGCCGGGCTGGGAGGGGCGGCGAGGGGCGCACGTGGAAGCCGAGCCGCCCTGCCTCCTGCCGGTCTCTGCTTCCTGGCCGCAGAGACCCAGCTTCCACCTTGGAGCCGCGGCCTTTTGCCGGTGGAGCTGCTGGTGGAGGGCGGGGCGGGGCGGGGGCGGGCTCAGGGGGCGGCGAGCCAACGGGTGGCAGTGAAGGCGGGTGGGCCGCAAGTTGCCGCTGAGCTGGGGCTTCCACCGGCGGAAGGCAGGGCCAGGGGCAGGGGCCAAGGGCAGGTCAGGGGCCCAGCAGGGGCCCAGCCCGCAGCTCCCCTGGCCAGCAGGGAGGCCCTGGAGACAGGGGGAGGGTGGGGCCAAGGGCTCAGCGCCCCTGCCCAGAGGCTGCCTCCAGCCCAACTCGCGGGGGCCTTGGAGGGCAGTGTCCTGCAGCTGCACTTCCACGGCTCATCTGTCTAATGGGCTGGTCACTAACACCACCCGGGGTGGTGAATCACCAGCAGCAGGAGGAAGCAGGGCCAGAAATTCGCTGCCTTCTGCCCAGACTGCTGCTCCTGGCTGGAGTACTGGGGAGGCCGAGGGCAGCTTCCAGGTACCCCCAAAGGCTTCCTGGGCACAGGTGGGCCGAAAGGGCCAGGAGCTGTGGGCTCCAAAGCCTAACTGGACCACGCTGCTGCTGCCACGAGGCCGACCCCAGTGGTCCCGTTGCCCCCCGCTGCCCCACACCAGCGTTCCGGGCGTCTCCATTGACGTCTGTCTGCCCACAGCTGGACTCTTGCCTGCCCCTGCGCTGCTGAGGACTTGCATTCCGCCAGCGCTTGACTAGGTTACCGTCAGGACTGCCAGTCTCCAAGCCTGTCTGCCTCGACCACCCTCCACGCTGCCTTGTGCCAGAACATTCGTTCAGCAAAGGCCAGGGCCTTCATACCTTCCATGGACACACGCTGGTGAACAGGAAGAACGTGCAGGTCCGTGCTCGCTCAGCACTCCCAAGCGAGGAGGACAGGTCAGTAATAAAAAGGGAGACGAAGGTAATCCTGGGTGATAGGGCGGAGACAGTGCGGGGGGCGGGGGTCTCGAACGCCAGCCCCTAGGCGCTCCTCGGCCTCAGCCCCATCTAAAGCAAAGAACAGAGTTGAAGGGAAATGTACAGCAGATAAGATAAGGCTCATACAGATTAATCAGAAGGTTAAGACCCCGATAGCCAAATGGGCACAGAACCAGACGAGACCGCTCGCTCGAAGGAGAGAGACGCGGCAGGGCAGCAGGCGTGGGGCAGGCTCGGCCTGGGGCCTGCGGGGAAGCAAATGGCCAAGACCAGCGAGCAACAGAAAGCAAGGTCACTCTTTCCACGTGGGGCGAGAGGGAAACCTGCTCCAAAGCAGAGCGCCCAGCGCCGGCCAGTGCCTTTCCGGGACTGGCGAGGCCCCTGTGGAACTGAAAATGTGCATCCACAGCTGGCCACGTCAGCACCCCTGGCTGCTGTGGCGCGGCCCCAGGAGCCAAGCACCTGGGGACCAACATGGACCCCGGAGTGGGGCTCCTGAGCAGCGAGAAAGGCTGTGGCCGGCGGGTCTGCCTGGGGCGGCCTTGGTTGGGCACCTCTCAAGCACCAACATCAGATGAGAAACCCGCGCAGCCACGCTGTGGAGGAGGCAGGTTCCAGAGCGCCAGGCTGCTCCGGCTTCCAGTCTCCTCTCCCACCCCAGCCCAGCGGGCGGGCAGCCTGGCATCACCTCTGGCCCCTGGCACCCTGTCTGCAACCTAGAACGTGCGTCCTGCCTGTGCCCAGAGGCCTCTGGCAGCCAGCCGCTGCCCCCTCCAGTTCCCTGCCTGGGCCTCCTCTGCGGCCCATCCAGACTTTGCTCCCTTTGCAGACCCCCGCCCCCGTGCCCCCTCCAGATGCCCCCTTCAGGTGCACCCCCGGGTGCCCTCTGGCCTCCTGGGCCAGTGCGCAGCCTCCTGCTCTGTGCTCCCGCTCTCCCGTTCCCTGAGGCTGCAGCCCCGGGAGCCACAGACTGGGGGACTGGCTTCCAGGGTCTTTCTCATGGCTGCTCAGAGAGGCAGAGGCGCCGCCCTGAGCACGAGCACCAGCCAGGGTTCCCGTCGGGACTGGCGCAGTGCTGGGTGGGACTTGGGGCTGCACAGGGCAGAGGGCACTGCAGGGCTGCCTCGTGCCAGCCTTAGCTGGCCCCTCGTGGGCAGTGGGCGTGGCCCTTACCAGCAGGGAGGTGGGGAGGCACAGGCCCCAGCTGCCCTGACTTGGGAGCTCAGTGTGGCTGGAGAGACAACCCTGGGGTGCCCAAGCATACTTTCTGGAGAGGGCTCCCGAGGGCTGGTGACAGGCTGGGACAGAGGCGGGAGAGGGTGGGGAGGAGGCAGCCTCTGCAGTGCTGACGGCAGGGGCGCCAGGCTCCGGCAGGTGCCCCAGCCCACGCCGCCTCTGGGCTGGGGTCAGCACTGCACCTGAGGACCAGCTCCTCCCACCAGCCCACTCAGGAGCCTGCGGACACCCTCCCGCGAGGAAGGCCCAGGAGCCCAGCTTCACTCCAGAAAGTGAGGCTCGCAGGCCGGCAGCGCTGCGCCAGCAGCAGGACAGACTGGAACCTGTTGCCACCACAGCCACTGCCGCTCCGCTCCGCCTCCGCACTGCAGGGCTGAGCGCAGCCAAGCCCCCTCCCCCGACCCTGCAGGCGGCGCCGGCTCTGGGCGTCAGCCCCGCCCACAGGCGCTGGCGGCTCGGTGGGCTGGGCTGGGGGGGGGCACTCCGGCTGCGCCACCCTATCGGGCGCCCTCGGGCCTCTGCTGGGCTGGCCGGGCCAGTACCCTCTGGAGGTCGCGGCCGCCCCTAGTTCCGCCTGGAGCCTCCGAAAGCAAGCGTGCCTGCCTCCGCCTCCTGCTTTATGCCCCCCTAAATGCAGGACCCACTCCCCGGGGGGAGTGGGTGGGAGGGGGTGTGGCACAGTCTCAGCCGTCCTGACCCCGGCACATGGCTGCGGGCACCGGTCCCAGGGACAGGGCTCCTGCCAAGTGCAGCGTCTCTTCCACCCAGTCCACTGTGCGCCGGAGACGGCTTTCTGCTTTCCCAGTCCATCACCTCCTCGTGGAAAGGGGAGCTCCTTCAAGGCAGGAGCTGGTGTGCTGGCTCCTGGGGTGCCCCCCAGCTCACGAAGGAGTGCGCACACCAACTGCTGCGTGAGGGAGCTCGGGATGTGCTCCTGCTTTTGCTCCTGGGCCACGTCCGGGCACCCACAGGCGCTCACAGTCTCCCCCGCACACCTGCAGACAGGCACTGGCACGCTGGGATCCTTGTGGAACCCACCTGCCAGGTGCACGCCAGATCCTGGGCACCCCTTGTGTCCCAGCTGGACCACCTGCATCTCAGTACCTGACCCCCAGTACTTTGGGTCCCAAGTTAGGTCTTAGGGAGAAGCCAAGCCAGCCACTGGGGAGACTCAGGGTCTGCTCAGGATGGCAAGCCACTGCTGAAGGTGAGCCAGAGGCTCCTGGCAGGGAGGCCGCCCAGTGCTGCAGCCTCTAAAGCCTTGGTGTGCGGAGGGGAGGGACTGGGGGCACTGAAGTTTTGGGGGCCACTGCCATGGGGAGGGGTGGGCGTTTGCAGGAGAGCATGAATCAAGCAGGTGTGTGCCCTGTGGAGCTGACTGGGGGGACCTCTTGGGTACCTGAGGCGTGTGCCGGGGAGTGGGCCTGCCTGACAGGAGTGGGGGTGCTGGCCAGGGTGTGGGCAAATGTTGGGGCTTCACGGGATGGGGGTGGGCTGCAGTGTCTCTGGGCCGGCACGGGGATGGGTGTCTGACTGGGCATACGGGGCTGGGACTGAGGGGGGCGGGCAGCTGGTGCAGATGTGCTGGGAGGGAGTGAGGCGTGGCAGGGTCCGGGCTGGGGGCCGGCGGGAGTTGGGGGCCGCCGCGGTGGCCGGTGCACCGCAGTGACCCGCCCCCCAGCGGCTTGTGCGCGTGGGGCAGACGCGGCGGTGCGCGGGCGGGTGAGGTGCCAGGACCCAGGGAGCCCGCAGGGCGCGCGCGTCAGCTCCGGGGTGCGCGCCGGCCAGACGTTAGGGGTGCGGGATGGAGGAGCACACGTCGGGGGCGGCCAGGCCGGGTGGGGGTGGGGTGGGGCCAGGACGCCGGGTGCCGCTCACCTCGGTTCGGCTCGGCTCCCCACCGGCTCCGCGCGTCGCGGCTGGGAAGTTTCCAGGGCCGGGCGGGCGGGAAGCGCCACCCCGCAGCCGCAGCCGCGGACGCCAGCGGAGCCTCAGGCGGCGGCCTCGCCGGGAGCTGAGGGAGCTGAGGGAGCTGAGGGAG